GAATTAAATTAAATCTTATTTTTTCTTTTTACCAACTATCCCACATTGAAAGATGATGGGAATTCTTGGGGAGATTTCCCTATAAACAGCATCATGGGGTATTGGGATTTTCACTTGAGTTGGTGAACTTGAAGGGATCTCCAAAAGCGAGAAAACCTTTGTTTGTAAACTCTAACTTAATTTTTGGTCTAGCTAAGCTTGTGGATAGGGACCAGTTACGGTTCGGTAGCAAGAGTGAACCGTTAGAGGTTCTCGCACTTGTGGAACTTGAAGCTTTCAAGTCCGAGATCAACGGTTGAGCGAAGCACGCTACAAGGTTGAGCATTCTTTCTCTCTCTTCTCTTATGTTTATGTTTGTTTTGCATGCTTTTATTTATGTTGTAATTATTATGAATGCGATCCGGTTAATAGGTGTTGTATCCGCGCGGTGTTGGATACTGCAAAACCCAACAACAGTATAAGAGCCTCTTGTATTTAATTTTTACAACTAAAAATTAATAAGGTTATTTAAAATGGATTTATGATAATTTTGGATTACGAACTCCAATTTTGACTCAAAAATAGGGAATTTTTGGTGGAATTTGTTGGGTTTTGTGATGTCCAACATCACACGGAATGAAACCTGCCCAAAATCCGCACACAAATTATAGTAACTAAACATGCATATTAACTACAACCACATAATTAATTAACAAAGAGAGAGAAAGAGGAAAGGGCGATCATACCCTTGATGCGTGATTTGCTTTGTCTTAGAGCTCGAACTTGAAAGCGTAGAGCTTCGCAAATGCACTAGCCTCCTACGACTCTCACCATCGAGACCAGACCCGAGCCGGGCCCTACCCCAAAGCTTAGTTGGGGCTAGACCAAAATAATACTAGAGTATTACGAACTTAAAGGTTTTATCACCTATTGGGAGATGCCTTATTGAGTTCCACTCAAGTATCTAATCCCAACTCCTAAAGTTGGTATTTATAGGCAAAGGCTCCCAAAAACTTTAATCATCTTTCCAAATGGGAGAAATGATAGAGTGAGAAAAGTAAGCAATTGATTTAATTCTAAATTAAATTAAATAGTAAAACAAATAATAAAACAACACTTGGCACACACATGTGAGAGGTTAGGTGAGGACCACACGAGAGGACTACATGTCCCCTTATTCCCCAAGCAAAAGCTCTCTACTATAAGCATGTGCCACATGGAAACCCTTTGCCTTAGGCAACAACGGCGCCATGTGGGCAGCCCTTGAGCTCTTGGCTGGGCCAACATGAAAGGAATGGTGTCCTTACAACAAGTGTATTATTCCGATAGAGGGTTTAGAATTATTAGAAAGCTAATTCTTTAATAAGGTCAAGTGATTGGAATGCCTAGGTAGAGGCCGCTTCCGATCAGTAATATTAATGTATAAATAATATTACAGCTTAATCTTGACTGAACCCTTCGGGTCACACCCAATCGAGTAACCCATCCGAGGTGACGAATCAATCCGAAGGATTAGATGAGTCGTTAGAGTAATACGAACAAAGACGTCGGATAACGAGCTCAGAGTCTTGAAACCCAGCGTCACAAGTCGAGTTGAATTGGAAATTTGACGAGACGAGAAATCAAGCAAGCGACAAGTTCGAGATAAGTCGTAGCCTCGCATTTGCCTAGCAATGCAAGTGCTAGGCTAGCTTAAGATACCATGTGCATCACTAGGCATACCACAAGCATGCTAGCAAGGCTGGTGCACAAGGCAGCAATTGCTAGCTCAAGCACAACAACAGCGCGCTATGTGTACTTTGCTATGGTGATGTATGCTAGCATAGCAGCCTCACGCCACTCGCAGCCTCTCGTATAACAGCCACGCATTACAACATCGCAGCGTGCTATGTGCTGTGGCGGTACATGCTTGCGTGCTTGGCATCACAGCATCCTATGTGCTGTGGTTGTGCATTCTTGTCTGCTAGGCAGCGCCTAGCACAAGCAGCAGCTGCCAGGCAGTGCCTAGCATACGCTACACAGCAGAAGCAGCCCGCATTGCATGCGTGGCTTGCTGGATGCGTGCATGCGTATGCGGGCTGGCTAGCCAGCCCAGCCAAGGTGCCAAGCGCCAGCTAGGAAGCCTTGGCAGCCAAGGCAGGCTAGCTGCAAGCTATGCATGGGCTGCTCATGGGTTTTTTGGTGGGGACCGATTCTTGGTGGCTTTGCTTGGTGAGAAAGGAGTATTGGTCCCCCCATTTGAATGGTCCTCACCTACTCCTTCTCAACCTTTGCCACTTGGAGCTTGTTGATTGCCTTGCATTTTTATTTTGTTTTTGATTAAAATAAAATAAAGGAAAAACGCAAATCTCCCACATTGATGGGATAAGGGAGATTAAGGCTCCCTTCCCTATAAATACCCAAGTTTTGGGTTTGGGAAAAAACACTTAAGTTGAAGTCAATAAGGCATCTCCCTATAGGTGAGAAAACCTTTAAGTTCGTAATAATCTAGTCTTTTCTTGGTCTAGCCCCGTCTAACCATCAGGGTAGAGGCCGTTCGGGTCCGGTCTCGAGGGTGGCCTCCGTCAGAGGCTCTCGCGCTTGCGGAGCTATGACTTTGAAGTCCGAGGTCTATAGGAGTGAAGCACGCGTCGAGGGTAAGAATGTCATTTCCCTTTCTCTTTCTTTTGTTGCTTAATTATGTGGTTGCAAGCTTAGTTGCTTTAGTTAGTGGGTGGGTCTTGGGCGGGTTTCTCTTCTGCGTAGTGTTGGACGCTACGAAACCCAACAGCGGTATCGGAGCCGCGCTCATTTTAATTATTGTAACTAATAATTAATTGAGGAGATTTAAAATGGACTTAAATTCTGGTTTTGCTTTCTTAATATATTAGAAGCTCGTTTTTAATTAGTTTTAATCTCGTATTTTACTAATTTTGGCTGTCGAACCAAGATTTCGACTGAAAAATTGTGATTTTTGGATGGAACCGATGTTTAAAATCATTTTTTACCCTTCTTAGGGCTGTCCAGAAGCCAAAATCCTCCCAGAAACATGTTGTTCGAGGGGTTTTCTTGTTTTTACGAAAAATTTTAAATCTTTAAACCTTGATTAATTATGGCATGTTAACGGTAGATTAAACGTATGGTTGCATCACTAATCTACTACAATTATAAACCTTATTAATCATGTTTATGAAGTCATAATTGGTGCTTGATTTGGTAGGCTCGTTTTTCACATAAACATGAAATTTCACAATTTTGCAAATTAATTGCTTCAAGTGTGAATGTCTATGGTGAATGTGAAATTTTGAAGTCCCTAATATGTTAAAGATCCAATCTTTAATTGTTTATTTGTTTGGAACTTTGAGATCTAAATTCCATGTTGAACTAATTTTTGGATTTGATTATTTTTTAGATGATTAAAGTCCTAAAAGTTCAAAACTTATGATTGAAATTTAGTTAATCTTCATATTGGAAGATGTAATTTTTCAATTATTCACAAGTTAGTGTTGGAAATTTTTCATTAGATGAATGAGTTTACTTTTCTAACATCTTTAATTTTGTCAAATCTCATTATTAATTTATGTATGGTTAAATTAATTGTGAGTATAGCCCTTCAATTTTGTAGCATCACGATAAAGCAAAAATTGATTTAAAGAATGGTTCTTGAATAATTTTGGTTTGTGCACTAAAATTGAATTTATTTAAATTAGACTTGTTATATTTTCATTCATGCTCAATGTTGGTTCTAAAATAAATTTAGACTCGATTTTAGGTCACACACATATCGGGATTAAAATCCCGAGATAAAAGCACGTAAATCGAGGCAATGACCGCCAAAGCACACCACATGGCTACCCGGGCTGCTCTCGCAACCCACATGTGGCTGCCGTGGTGTGCATGGGCTTCCTATGCCTCGAAGTGATGCTAATGTGTGGCGGTTTTGGGCTTGGTGCACGCATGTTGCTACACGCATAATGCGGTGTGTGCATGTTTTGTGCATCGAGGATGCAAGGGTGATGTGCACAAGGTGCTACAATAAGGGTGCCTTGGTGCTGCGATGTGTTGCTAGGCAACATAAGCTCGCATGATTAGGACCTTTGAGGCCATGGCTTGTGTGTGTGAAAGTGCGCTGATGTGACCGGTGTAACGTGTATACGACATTGAGATTACTCCCACGTGCTTGGGCCACAAGCGATTGTGCGGGTGCGGCCACGCAAGGCACCTCAAGCCTTAGTGCTAAGCACTTAGGGATCGTAATGCATCGTTGGGCTATGTGTTTGCTATTTTGCCTTTTAATTATTTATATAATTATTTAACGAGGCATTTGTAAAATATTTTGGCAAAATATGGGTTAATCGGATTAATTAATTGGTTTAATTAAGTTGAATGCGGAATTTAGTGGGAGCTTCGTTAATTGCTTGAGCTAATTTATTGCGTTTGATCACATAATGTTCAAAAACTTTGACTAGTTGTAATTAGGCGTGTTAATTGGATTAACCACCTAAGTTAGTTACTAGTTTACGCGTGCTATGCATTGTTACTTGTTTTTCGTTTTAAAATGCATGGGCTATACACATATAGTCACTAGTAAAAAAAATGAAATAGGCACCGCACTTTTCGCACCGGTTCTTGAAAACCGGTGGGAAAAGAAATGGGCGGGATTGGGAAAAAGACTTTTCGCACCGGTTCCTAATAAATCCGTGCAAAATCATCTTTTTCGCATCGGTACAAACCGGTGCGAATTTAAAAAAGGAAAAAAAAAAGTGAATGGATTTTGCATCGATTCAGACCAAACTAGCGCGAAATAAAAAAAAAAAAAAAAAAAAAAAAAAAAAAAGATGGGCTCGCGTATTTCTTCTTCTTCCTTTCTTTCTCCCTGCTTTTCCATCTTCTTTTTTCCCTCGTTCTCGCCTTCTCTTCCACCACCTCCAAATTCCCACCTTCTCCATTGAAGCCGTTTATGAGCTTTATCACTCCATTGAAGCAGCCGCACCTCCTTCTCTCTCCATATCTCTCCTCCATTGAACTCGTGCTCTTTATTCTCCATTGAAGCGGATTCTGAGCTTTCTCACCTCCATTGAAGCAGCTTCGAGGTAAGATTTTTTCTGTGGTCTTCTTAATATATCGAATTCCTTCGCAATCTAGGGTTTGTCGTTGATTTTCTTTTCAATTTAGTAATTTTAGGGTTGTGGTAATCTAGGGTTTGTCGTTGATTCTGCATTGTATGTTCCGCCGCTAACCCTAATTTTTAGTTTGATTGTGTTTGATATTTGTTGATTATTGAAGATTTCTTGTGTACTGTGTGTGTTAGTGTGTAATTGCTGTGATTTTGTTTTTGTTTCTTTGAGATGCACTGGTATTTGAATCGAAGTACAACAGGGTTGTACAAACTATTTATGCAGATAAGTGTCATCTCTTCCTTTTTTAAAGATCTAAAAAGGGCAGATACTGAATGTAGTTTCATGAGCAGCTAATCAAGTAAGGATATCAATATCAATCACCCTCAAGTTTAACAACGCACAAAAGAGAGAGTAAATGAGGCACGCATATAAAGAAACACTGGGGAATTTTTTTGGAGTTTTTGGTTTGGATCAACTCACCAATATTCCCATCCATCTGATTCAAATCTTGTAATTACAGGAGGAGGAATTGGTAAACAAATGCTAGTTTTACAAAAGCTCCAGATAAATAAAAAATGTGCAGATCACACTAAAAAGCTTTAACATATACTAAGTACTCACCTTACTGAGATTGAAGTCAATCAGATACACATTTACGGATTTTGATGAGAATAAAAAATTTCTTGGTTTTTTGTCTCTGTGAAACACACCCTGCAACTCGTGCAAACATTTATATGTACTTATACATAAGAATTTGCAAAGTAATACATCTAAACAGCAACATTATTCCGTACCCGCTTATGGAGTCCAAAGAGTGCTTTGAACATGCAGTAACCATACCATTGAAGCTGAGATATGCCAATCTCCTGTTTTGAAACCTGCAGCAGAATCATATTATGCATGGGTCAAAACATAATTTTTAAGATACAACACAATTGAAAATAAAACTCCAAAAGGATCAACTTACTTCAGGCCTGTCATGCTCAACATGCTGTGGAGGGATCATGATGTAGGTTTCTTTGGCTGTAGCCTGTAGGTCATGGTTAGTGAGTAGTTGGTCAAGTGGCAAGACAATACTTTCTTTATTTCAAATGTGCAACATAACCCTTAACTGAGGCAATGAGCAAGGGAGTGCACCAGTGTTTGATCATTTAAGGAATTGTTTATAAAATTTTGGAAACTTTTGATGTCTCTGGTGCTTCTTCATTAGGTTTACTTGGCATAAAGTGAAGAGAAGTCACTTCTATGAGCCTGAACTTGGTCGTTGTTACATTATCCCTCTTCGCTGAAGAGTAGTTATTATGTTCAAAGAACAATATTACACTACTTTGCTACTCAAATAAACTGTACCAAAGATTCTATGGATGTTTTAGGGTTTCTGCTCCATTTCTATTTTTTCTCCAGCTTGCTTCTAAATAGCCCCATTGTTGTACTTTGTCAACTGGCCCTTTAGTTGAGGTTTTTGAGTGAGTTATGAGTTTTTGCAGTTGTTGATGCATGCTCTTTGATACAGTATATTAACAGATTTGATTTTGGTACATAACATGACCTGGATTGACCACATCTCAAAGCAATCTCTTGCTCCTATCTAGTGACCATTCTTATGCATCCCATGTTCTTCTCCTTTTCAGTAATTTCTTAAACTGTGCTTCACTTTCTTTTTACCCTTGCCACACAAACTTTGATGTCTCTTGCTTTGTGTTAGTGTAAATACTTGGTTTAGTCTCTTAAAATTTGTTTATAGTGCACTCCTAACAGTTACATATATTGTTTCCAAGTCAACTGCTATCTGGTGACTCCTGGTGAACTTAAGGCTTTTCTTGGATATCTGATATTGGAAGATGTCTATTAATTTCTAATTTCTTAAATTAATAAGTACATAGGATTATATTTTGGTCTCTCAAGCTTATTAACTCACAATTTTGATAGGTAGAATCGTGATAGGAATTGTTTGGTACTGTTGTTCCAAAAACATCTGGTAGTTTCATGGTTTTCTACTCTTTTTTTGTATTGGTTTTCGACACAAGTTCAGGCAGGCAGTTGCTTTTGCGCTAGTGAATATTTGGTTTTAAAAAATTTTCCTGATTAATTTGGTGCAACTACAGGACAAGGGTATTGGACATTGGCGTTTCAGCTGTATCATGTCTTTCCCTTGGAAGCCTATCCTTTCTGGTAGGTGTTCGTTCACACATGAATCTTATGTTTCTTTCAATGCCTAGGAAATGTAAGGCCCGAAAGGAATTATAGCTAACCAAGTGAAATTTAATCCACAAAATAATTTGATTCATGATCATTTATCAGTCCCTATGTATTCGACAACCTAGGTACATACTGTGACATACTCTGTATACTTGCATACCCTAGCTTAGAACACATCACCAGTTTTGCTTGGCTGTAAAGAGTTTGAATTTCACTTTGTTACAACCATCTTTCAAATAGAATTTTTCTGTTGTTGTTGCCAATTAGAAATTTGGGGTTATCATGGTAGAAAAATGTGTCATAAAACCGATTTCTGGCAACATGTTTAAGTAGTTCATGGATTATTGGATTGTGATTATATGATCAAGTGTCAGATTGGGCCATTGTTTATATATGTTATATTGGCTACAAGTGGAACTTTGATTGTTCAGCTATGTTTAGAGATTACAAGTGGAACTTTGATAAAAGATAAGCTCATACTCCATATATAACATACATAATTCTCTTGGATTACAAGTTTTTGCTCTTTCTAGAAAGTTTGTAGTATCTTTTAGTCTTTCTAACTACACTTGTAAACTATATACTTTGTATGTCTTTCCGTTTTAACTTCAAGGAGAATCTCTAAAGAACCATTGGATGATTATTATATTGCAGCTACAGGTTATACAGAGTACTATTATGATCCAAGATCTGGTAAAGTTTGCAGATATGTCACAACAAAAATGAAGTACGTAGTACATTTTTTTCGATGTTTGTTTTTTCTTGTTTCATGCCTTGGTTTCGATTTTCCTCTTGTTGTGTATGGCAGGCATGTGGAGCACTGGAATGTCCCAAAAATGGCTCTGTTGAAGCAAATTTTGAAGCTGAGCATTAAGTTCTGAAATTACTATAACCATAGGACTGAAAGCTTTGTGAATAGTGATGCTTATGGTTGTGATACTAGTAGATACAGAGAACTACAGAAGGCATTGTAGTTTTGTGAGTACAAACAGATATATTAGCATCCAAAGTCTAGTTTATAAGAACTGATAGATTGATACTTGTATTTTTATTTTTGCTAGGATAATTTTTGTAGGTTATTTTTGTGCAATATATGGTCTACTTTTGTATTGGTTTTCTACACAAGTTTTTTTTGTATTTTTTTTGGCCACTTTTTGCACCGGTTCAAGGCAATAACCGGTGCTAAAAGTGTTTTTTGTAATTTTTTTGGCCACTTTTTGCACCGGTTCAAAGCAAGAACCGATGCTAAAAGTTTTTTTTGTAATATTTTTTGGCCACTTTTCGAACTGGTTCAAAGCAAGAACCAGTGCTAAAAGTTTTTTTTTTAATATTCTTGGGGACTTTTCGCACCGGTTCACATCAAGAACCGATGCGAAAAGTCTTGGGATTTGGGATCCCTCAAATCAGAACCGTTTCAAAACCAGTGCAAAATGGGGGTTTTGAACCGGTGTTGATTAGCAATTTTTGCCTTGTGAGTGAATGGATGAATGGAATGTATATTGTTTCATAGGTTTTGTAAAAATGGCAACTAGTGGGGCCCGACTAGGATAGTAAATACGGACTGCGATCTGTTATGTATTTTTGTAAATCTATATACGGTCTGCGTACCGTTGCGTATTTTTGTACCTTAATATTTAGATAATCCTAGTTATAACGTAACTAGTAGTTGTATATTTGGTGGAGATCTCTCGAAGACGGTGTTTCTAAGAGGACAAGCCAAAGAAGTTGCATCGGAAACCCTTGGAGAATTGAAGACTCAAGGGGTCATGATATTTTCCATATGCATCTTTTACTTATAATATTTTCTATATATAATTGTGTTTATATATGATTGAATGGTATGATAGATATGCATGTTTAGAATTTCAAATGTTGCGATGATTAATTAAGTTCACTTAAATAAACCAACACAGAAACCCTAGGTCCCTATAATATTGAGCCAAATATATCGAACTAATGCGCGTGGTAATTGGCTACGCCATAGCGAGGCATCACCGCTTCCCTAGGAACGTAAGGTATACTAGGTATACAAGTTGTCTTGGTTAAGCTCAACGATATCAGTAAGGAGTCCTTAGATGTCGTTGCAATGGAGATAAAATGTCATGGAAGCATTGGATGCGATGTTTTATCGAACCAAGAGTAGCTTAGAGCTATTAGCAATTGGATTGCTTACCTTAAAATATTAAGTGTTAAGACAAGCCAAAGCATGCTTAATCACTTTCTTATTTTTGGGATCTTGGAATTGTTTTATTCTCGCCTAAAAGTGATAAATTTTAATGCATTGATAAGACGTGTAATAAAATTGAAAGTTTGCTTGTATGCTTTGAATTTCAAACTTATTATGTTATGAACTTGATAAATGGTTATACTTTGCACTTATATTTGTATAATTCTAAATCAAATTATATTATTTTCAGTGATTGGTAAAGAAAATCTTTTGAGAATGGTTCTCAAAGAATGGAAAAGCATTTCTAAAATACAACCTCTCATAATTGACTTTTATGACTTAAGTCCGAAAGGACGGTTGGATATCATTTATTCAAAATACTGGGTAGTTTTGATGAACATGAAATATTGAGTTGGAAAACTCAAATTGTCAATAGTTGACAACCAACATATCTTTTCGCTTCTCACACAAATGAGTAGGACTCATTGATGTAGCAATTCAAGTATGAATTGAAGGAAACGATGGAACTTTGTTTCACGGCGCATTAGATGCTTAATTATGCATAACAAAGTGTAAAAGTCAAGGCACTTAAAGAAATGGTTCTTAAAGTTATTAGATGGTGTATGATAAGAAATATAGGAAACAAGGAACAAATTAAAGGAAAGGAATAAGATTCCTTTTCTACCCATGAGTTGATGTTAGTGTGGATAACTTAGCAATTCGTTATCTTCACAAGTGTTGGATACCGCTTGAGTGTTCCACTTTGAAAGTGACCTCAAACCATTGAAGACAAGCTAAGTCATTTCCCTACAAGCTTAGAATGAAGTAAGTAGTGCTACATCAGTTGTAAGGTCATTTGTTTTGTTTAAAGTCCTTTTGAGCCAAGGCTGGAACGAACAATGGTTATTGTGTTCCATAATCATCAAACGATCCGTTTACATTCGAAAAGACACACATTTAATAAAAAGAGCAATAGTTGCGGGTTTTACTTGAATGGCATGGTTGTCTAAGCCATGAGTTAAGATTGCTAGATTATAAACAAACATCTCCCTAACATGAAAACTCACAAGGTTCAAGTCATGGACATGATTTGTGTTCCAAACATCTTTAGCAATGTCACATCGACAAGAACGTACTCAAGGCTCTGTTAGATAGACTCTTGATAGTTGATCGATTTGGAATCGTTCAAAGATAAACAAGTCTTACTTGTTGAAATCGACAAAGAAAGAAGCTATTGTGCTTGGCATAGACAATTGACTCAAAAAGCTAAAAAGGATTCAATTACTTCAACGTCTCACAAGAATTTGAAAGAATGTGGCTACATTCATCAAATGTGAACAAACTGGACCTTGAGTAGCTCAAATGTTCAGTGAAGTATAGAATCGACTTGGCAAGATATCAAAACGTTTAGATTAGATCGAGCGATGTTTGCTTAAGCCAAGAGTAATCATACCAAACTTATGAAATTGAAATTTCATAATGAGCTCCACAAATAATATTGTATGTTTTGACGGAGACCTCGATGCCATTTGGAAATGACTCGAATGATGATGGATCACATCCCTTCCTATAAAGTTCTTAAAAATTTGCACAAATGACTAGTGTTACACTAAACAGAAAATTGTCGAAGCTATGAAAGGACACCATATTAAGTTATGGATAGAAATAGTTCTAGCGTCTTTTCAAGTATATGTCTAGGGCTCTTAGCTCAGTGGGATTTCATTGGCTCAGTGGGAGTTCTTTGGCTCAGTAGGAGCTAATTGACTCAATAAGGCCTAAGGTAGCTTGAGAAGGAGCTAACTGTTTGTTTCACAGCGAACTTTTACCCAAAGACAATATACATGTCTCTTTGTAAGTATTCAAGTGAGACTACGGGCATTACTTCTACAACCTGATTGAGAACATAGTATTTGTTGCTCTAAGTGGTGTCATTCTGGAAAGTAACACATTTCCAAAACGACCAGTGGGAGGAAAATGAACTCGATGACCATCGTGATTAGCAACAAACTAGAATTGAGAACCTCCGAAGATTTTGGAAGGGCTTCATGAGAACAATTGATCAAGAATACTCAAAGGACTTTACAAGGGCCTTAAATGAGAATTCAATACTCACAAAACTTTAGAAGTGGTGGAGTAAGATCAATATAATCAAAAGGCTTTAAAAGCACCTTGAAACTCAGTGTTTGATGCAATTATCCCGTATATGTTTAGAATTCACTAAAGGCTTGGATTGAATCCTATAAATTTCTATTAAGTTAGAAATTATCCTAAAACTTACAAGCATACTATTTACCATTGGATGGTGAAGGAATAATATCTTGTAAATTAGCCACTAAAAATCCAAATTCCGAATAATGGTTAGAGGCCATACAATCTGAAATAGACTCCATATTTGTAAATCATGTTTGGAACTTGATTCATTTGCATGAAGGGTGAAAGACCCATCAATCGCAAATAAGTTTTCAAGGAGAAAACTGATAAATGTGGAAATGCATAAGCATACATAGCTAGATAAGTTGAAAAGGATATAATTAATTTACGGTGTTGATTTTAATAAAAACCTATTCCCCAATCGGAACGCTTAAATCTTTTTGTGATTATTCTAGCAAAATTGCGCATATAAAATATGGCAAAATAAATAACGAAACCGCCTTCCCAAAACGGGATTTTAGGAAGTGACTATGGGATAACGAAACCCTTTTTTGAGAATCTAAATAATGCTAGATTTGAAAGCAAGCTCAAGAAATCCATTGTGGGATTAATTGAAGCATTGCATGTAGGAATTGGAACATGTATTCTCATAAAGTTAATAAAAGGTTTGGCTTATAGAGAATCATAGAAATTCTTATGAACAAGAAGTTTAGTGGGAGCAAGAGTCAATCTTGTGTGGTCCAACAAGAAGTTTACGAACTTTATTGTGAAATGACTATCAAATGCAAAATGCTTAGATTTGAAAGGATTTTCGACAATGGACCAAGCAAAAGGCGATACATAGTACATAGTGGGAATTAAGATCTATTGGATAGACTTAATGAAATGTTTAAACGAGTAGAGGAATTTACCGTGTTAAACATGAAGGAGTTGGAAAGGCTTTCGACCCATATTTATAAAACTAAGTAAATGTTTGAACTAAGTATAAACTGGACAAATACTAAGTCAAACAAGAAAGACTCTAGTAGAGACTTTCAACCGTATCACATAGCAAACAGTTTAGCAAGATTCGGTGAAACTAGATGAGCTAAAAGGTCACATGAATGGAACATATTGGGAATAATTCTGTAATTAAAACCATCATGTATGCTATGATATGGAGTCGTCATTCAACTTACATGCTTAGAGCATGAGAAGTATAAAATACCAATCAATTTAAATATAAGTGATGAATCATTAGATTATGATCAAGAAAAATCCAAAGTACATTGATAAGTAAAACGGGATAAGTTCTTGACGCATGGAAACAAATGTAATTTGAGAATTAATGTTGCAAGCACATCCTTAGCAAGGATTAGATCCTTAATAAGGAAGCCGTTTATAAGCACGAGCTTGAATGCGTCGTGGCTTGAGAATGGTAACATGGACGCGCATCCATGTATAATGTGCGGAAATTTAAGGTAAATTTCCATAATCACAAGTGATTAGGGTCTCCCAAATCATTGTGAGCCGTTTGGAATGAAATCCGAGCAGAGCACCATAAGAAAGTCTACTGAAATATATGTTGAGAATATTGTTTCCTGGAAGGCAATAATAAGAAAGTGTTCAATGGAAAGTTGGTTGTCGAACGTTGATTATAGGTTGTCAAGTTGAAAGATCTCAAGTCATGAAAATGAGTGGGAGCCATCACTTGGACAATAAATCCTAAATCACATATGATCCGTAATACTCTCAAAATTTTATCATCTTATTATGAAATTGTTCAATAATGAAGATGCTAAGATTCGCAAAGTAATAATAACTAAACCTGTGCAATAAG